TACATCCTCTTTTTTATAGAAAATTTTCGATAAATACCTTTTTTATAGAAAATTTTCGATAAATTCTTATTTTATAGATAATTTTCGTTAATTTTTTTTATAAAATTATCGAAAAATTCTTTTCTTATAGAAAATTTTCGATAAATTCTATTTTTATAGAAAATTTTCGATAAATTCTCTTTTTTATAGAAAATTTTCGATAAATTCTCTTTTTTATAGAAAATTTTCGATAAATTCTCTTTTTTATAGAAAATTTTCGATAAATTCTCTTTTTTATAGAAAATTTTCGATAAATTCTCTTTTTTATAGAAAATTTTTGATAAATTCTCTTTTGATAGAAAATTTTCGATAAATTCTCTTTTTTATAGAAAACTTTCGATAAATTCTCTTTTTTATAGAAAATTTTTGATAAATTCTCTTTTTTATAAAAAATTTTCGATAAATTCTCTTTTTTATAGAAAATGTTCGATAAATTCTGTTTTTTATAGAAAATTTTCGATAAATTCTGTTTTTTATAGAAAATTTTCGATAAATTCTGTTTTTTATAGAAAATTTTCGATAAATTCTCTTTTTTATAGAAAATTTTCGATAAATTCTCTTTTTTATAGAAAATGTTCGATAAATTCTCTTTTTTATAGAAAATTTTCGATAAATTATCTTTTTTATAGAAAATTTTCGATAAATTATCTTTTTTTATAGAAAATTTTCGATAAATTCTCTTTTTTATAGAAAATTTTCGATAAATTCTCTTTTTTATAGAAGATTTTCGATAAATTCTCTTTTTTATAGAAAATTTTCGATAAATTCTCTTTTTTATAGAAAATTTTCGATAAATTCTCTTTTTATAGAAAATTTTCGATAAATTCTCTTTTTTATAGAAAATTTTCGATAAATTCTCTTTTTTATAGAAAATTTTCGATAAATTCTCTTTTCTATAGAAAATTTTCGATAAATTCTCTTTTTAAAGACAATTTTCGATTAATTCTCTTTTTAAAGAAAATTTTCGATTAATTCTCTTTTAATAGAAAATGTTCGATAAATTCTCTTTTTAAAGAAAATTTTCGATATATTCTCTTTTTAAAGAAAATTTTCGATAAATTCTCTTTTTAAAGAAAATTTTCGATAAATTTTCGTTTAAAATTTTTTTTTTTAAATAAAATTTTCGATAAATTCTCTTTTTAAAGAAAAATTTCGATAAATACTCTTTTTATAGAAAATTTTTGATAAATTCTCTTTTTATACTAGATTTATTTTAGATTAATTCTCTTCTTTATCGAACATTTTCGTTAAATTCTCTTTTTATAGAACAATTTCGAAAAATTCTCTTTTTACAGAACATTTTTGATAAGTTTTCTTTTTACAGAATTTTTTCGATAAATTTTGTATTAGGAATATTAAATTTCTTGATTTAAATCTTTAAAGCAAACTTTGAATAGATTTACTTATAATCCATTCCAAGTATATTTCCTGATAACTTTGGCAACCCTTTCAAAATATCAGAAACATCACTATTTTACAGTTAGTTATAGTAACAAACATGCTCAAAGTATTTGCAATTACAATTTTTCAAAAGAAAACAGACAAAAAAAACAACACAAGTGCCAGCGGAAGGAAGGAAGAAGAAAATAATGGAAAGAGTACAAATGCAGTGACGACGGCGGCAGCCAGCATGATAATGATGATATTTTACGCAAGCGGGAGAGGGGGAGGAGCAAGTGTGTCTATGATAAAAAAACAACAACATCAACAATACAAAAAAAAGGGGGTGTAGGAAAAGAGAAACGTCATAAACAGATATTTAAGGAAAGAAAAAATCTTCAAAGGCGATGTTAGTCTGTGACAAGACTGACTGTTGCTGTAAAATGTTTAAGGATAAATTGATTAGAAAAAAACTTAAATACGATGAGAAAAAACTTTTACTTAATTATGATAAAATAAAAGAAATTAAATAAAAACATCCATATGAACTGAACTAGGGAGTGGTAATTGAAACAAAAATAATATGAAAATAGATGGAGTAAAGCCAACAGACAAATTTAAAAGAAATAAAAAAATAACAACATTGTATAAATTCCACAAGAGGCGTTGTCTGGTCGCAGACATCAATGCTCGATACCAACAGCCAGCCATTCAGCTAGTCAAAACCAACAAAACATATTGAGAAAGTGAAAACTATGCAAATATATTTAATAAAACGAAAATCAAAAGAATTCTTAAGAAAAAACTTTTTAATTTGCATAAAAAGTTTAAAATTGATTTGTTAATTCAATATTTACCTTATTGTATTGGAATTACAAAAGACAAATCTGCTTAATCCTTTAAGAACTTTTGTGGGGCTTAAAATCCTTTAAGAAAATTGCAATATGTTTTGTCTTCTATTTAGTTTTTTTTATCAAAAAGGGTTTTTTCTGATTTAACACTATTTCCTTGCAATTTTTTAAACTTTCCTTATGGTTTATATTTTATTCCTTTTATTTTTTTATTAAATGCTTCTTTTCTTAACTTATTTTTGTCACTTTTTTTCGTTTTTTCTTTAATATGTTTCACACACAAATTACTTTTTTTTGCACTTTTCTTTTTGTTGCCGAGATTTGCGCGTTTTCTCTTCGATTTTACCAGTATTAAAAACGTTTAATTAACCACACTTTTATTTGTAAAAAAAAACCTAATATTTGTTTTAATTTTGGTTTACTTTTTTTATTGTTGTAGCAGCTTTAATTAAAAGTTTTGCTACTTTTTTTTTGTTTTTTTTAGTGTGTGTAGAAAAAATATGTTAATTTATTCACAACAATTATGTTTGTTGCGTTGTTTTTCTTCACTTCGTTCGCTTACACACGACCGTCTTATTTCGATACTCTTTTATAAATGCAAAAAAATTTGTTTGTTGCATGACTCAATCGGTGCTATTTTTTTTTTTCAGTAAATACAACACTGTGTGCGAAAATGTAGGCAAAACAAAGAGTGATTATACAGCGAGGTGTGTAAACAAAGTGGAGGTACAATTAGTTTTTAATCATTCACAATAAAGCAGTAGTAAACAGAATGATTCAAATACATTAAAAAATTGTTTTTTTTTTATAAAAAATTAATAAATTTAGAAATTTTTATTAAACAAATTAGCAATTATCACAAAATTAAATTAAAAAGCATCAAAATATAAGTAAAGAGAATAGTTGGAGGTTACTTTTGTTTTAAAGAAAGAAAACTTTCGATATACTATATTTTATGGAAAATATTCGATAAATTCCCTTTTTTATAGAAAATGTTCGATTTATTCTACTTTTTAAAGAGAATTTTTGATAAATACTCTTTTGTTATATTCTCTTTTTATAGAAAATTTTCGATAAATTCTTTTTTATAGAAAATTTTCGATAAATTCTCTTTTTATAGAAAATTTTCGATAAATTTTCTTTTTATAGAAAATTTTCGATAAATTCTCTTTTTATAGAAAATTTTCGATAAATTCCGTTTTTATAGAAAATTTTCGATAAATTCCCTTTTTATAGCAAGTTTTCGATAAATTCCCTTTTTATAGCAAGTTTTCGATAAATTCTCTTTTTATAGCAAGTTTTCGATAAATTCCATTTTTATAGCAAGTTTTCGATAAATTCCTTTTTTATAGCAAGTTTTCGATAAATTCCTTTTTTATAGCAAGTTTTCGATAAATTCCTTTTTTATAGCAAGTTTTCGATAAATTCCTTTTTTATAGAAAATTTTCAATAAATTCTCTTTTTTCGATAAATTCTCTTTTTTATAGAAAATGTTCGATAAATTCTGTTTTTTATAGAAAATGTTCGACAAATTCTGTTTTTTATAGAAAATTTTCGATAAATTCTCTTTTTATAGAAAATTTCCGATAAATTCTCTTTTTATAGAAAATTTCCGATAAATTCTCTTTTTATAGAAAATTTTCGATAAATTCTCTTTTTATAGAAAATTTTCGATAAATTCTCTTTTTATAGAAAATTTTCGATAAATTCTCTTTTTATAGAAAATTTTCGATAAATTCTCTTTTTTTATAGAAGATTTTCGATAAATTCTCTTTTTTTATAGAAAATTTTCGATAAATTCTCTTTTTTTATAGAAAATTTTCGATAAATTCTCTTTTTTTATAGAAAATTTTCGATAAATTCTCTTTTTTTATAGAAAATTTTCGATAAATTCTCTTTTTTTATAGAAAATTTTCGATAAATTCTCTTTTTTTATAGAGAATTTTCGATAAATTCTCTTTTTTTATAGAGAATTTTCGATAAATTGTCTTTTCTTATAGAAAATTTTCGATAAATTCTCTTTTTTATAGAAAATTTTCGATAAATTCTCTTTTTTCATATAAAATTTTCGATAAATTCTCTTTTTTTGTAGAAAATTTTCGATAAATTCTCTTTTTTATAGAAAATTTTCGATAAATTCTCTTTTTATAGAAAATTTTCGATAAATTCTCTTTTTATAGAAAATTTTCGATAAATTCTCATTTTATAGAAAATTTTCGATAAATTCTCATTTTATAGAAAATTTCCGATAAATTCTCATTTTATAGAAAATTTTCGATAAATTCTCTTTTTTCATATAAAATTTTCGATAAATTCTCTTTTTTTGTAGAAAATTTTCGATAAATTCTCTTTTTTTATAGAAAATTGTCGATAAATTCTCTTTTTATAGAAAATTTTCGATAAATTCTCTTTTTATAGAAAATTTTCGATAAATTCTCATTTTATAGAAAATTTCCGATAAATTCTCATTTTATAGAAAATTTTCGATAAATTATCTTTTTTTATAGTTCTCTTTTTTATAGAAAAGTTTCGAAATTCTCTTTTTTATAGAAAAGTTTCGCTACAAATTTTCTATAACTTTTCTTTTTATTTATATAACTTTTCTTTTTTATTTCTCTTTTTTAAGGAAATTTTTCGATAAAATCTCTTTTTATAGAAAATTTTCGATATTTTTCAATAAATTCCATTTTGTCTATAATGATTGATGTCTTTTTTGATAAAAGCAATTGTCAAATCTTTTCAATATTTATTTGAAATATAAAAAATATTGTAAAAGTTTTTAATATCATGGAATACTTTTCACATCCTGTATCTCCTATCACACCTCCACCCCCAGAAAGCGTTGAAGATCCAGAAAACATCAAAAAACTACCACCACAATTTCAATTTGAAAATATAACCGTAGCCAAGCCACCGCTATTAAAAATTTACTATTGGGAAAGTTTGGACTTAGAGAAGTAAACAAATATTTTAAATTCTAATAAAATCCCTTAATTTTAAAGAATTTTTCTCCCTAACAGTTTAAACCACAAACTTTTAACAGATAACTCCTTTATAGAACATCATTTGGAATTGCCTACACGCCAACTAAATAGCACACCTTTGAAAATTATTTTCTGGTTACGCAATGTTAGTGATTATGAGTTTACTATGCGTTTAAAACGCATACAAAATTGTCAATGTATGCCCCGGGAGACCAGGGTGGGGTTTAATCAATTTCGCCAATTATATCACTGTCCCCATCGACGTTTAATACATATTAGTCAGGAGATGTATGTAATGAAACCGGGTGATTTGGTAGCCATGTCGGTGTTGGCTTATTATTATATTTTGGGAGATCATATATTGAGTTTTGAATTAAGGTAAGTTGAAAAAGGGAATTTAAAGAATTCAGAACTATTTTCTTTAATATTTTTTTTTCCAGAATTTCCGATTCGCGCATCATTTCGCTACATTTCCATGTAAATATTACCACTTTCGACCCCGTGAAAAGTGTTCTAACCACTAAAATGATTCCAGTTGATATTAAGGAGCATCGCAGCATGGCTCAACCTTTATGGATACGTAATATAACAATGCAAAATCTGCAATTTCTATTTAGTGGAAAAAATCGTGGTCTTCGTTTGATTAATCCCAATATGGAAGTACCAAGACAAAGTGTGTGGCCGTTGATTGTGGAGTACAGGCCCAATGATTTTGAAAATAATGTAAGTTGGATATTTGAAAAAAATATCACGAATAATGTTCAGTGCTTTTGTGATTTATATCCCGGTGTCCTCTAGCTTTCCTTTTATGAGAAAAAGCTACAATCTTGATTAGTAAAATATATTATTCCTAAAAATCGTTTTCTTTTTTTAGCTGAATTTATTTTTAAACTATGGCACCAAGTTAACATCTAATGGTAATGCTGGAAATCGTTTTAAAATACCCATAACCTGTAAAGGTTACATGCAGCAAGAGATTGTAGATTCCCAAGCCCCTCTTTTGGATTATGAATGTTCTGATTACCTGTATGTGGTGTACCCGAATAAGTTGGAATTTACCACAGAAATAAATGAAGAAAAAACCTTAATGGTTGCGGTGCACAATTACAATCAAAAGTGCATGGAATTTAAATGGCAAACGTAAGGATGAAAACTTTCATTTTAAGCTGCAAAACTAATTCTGAATCATTTCTCTGCAGCTACACTATTAACGAATACTTCAGTTTTACTTTTGAACCTAATACATTTACTCTTAAGCCTCATCGTTCCAAACTATGTGTGGTGCAAGTGAAATCATTTAGCAATCCTTTACATTTCAAACGTATACCGTGTGTTTTGGAGATACATCGCATTCTAGATAAATCCACACAAATAGCTCAATCTTTATTAACAGAAGTGGAGTCTATAGATGATCCCAAATGGTTAGAGAATAGCTATGTGGAGCATGTTCTTTTGCATATAGATTTAAAAGTTAAATTACCTCCTATAGAAAAGGAGAAGGTAATAGAGGAACAGGACTTAAACAAAGACTCCATAAACAATCAAACTACAATATTTGAGAAATTATTTTGGGAATATTTAGCCAAATCAAATTATATGCGTAACACCAGTAAAATACCCCGAAATTTAAATTATGAACAAGTTTTGAATAAGGACTTCAATTCAAAGAATAGGGATTCTAAACCCGATAATAAAAAGCAGTAAGTCCGAAATCGTGTTAAACTTAACAAATTAACTTTATTTAATCTCTTTTTTATAGAGCAGCTTTCAATATTTTAAGTTTTCTTACGGCTGAAGCTTGTCGTGATCTGTCCAAAAATTATCGCTTTGTACCTGTCGAAATTTTGGATTCTATTTAAAATTTACCTCTTAAATTACGCATGTACAGGGCCAAAGGTAACATGGAGTCTCTTTGTAAGCAGGACTGATGGACTAGACTGGAAATGCGTTTTAC